GCAGGGAAGATAAAGCCGAGGAGTGTCTCCTTGTAAAGTCGGCCGGGAGGAGCCTTGTCCCCACAAGGAGTCAACGATGCAAATGTTATTCGAAATGCATTCAAGGTTTGATCCGGGTCTCTTTGCATCTTTATTCACAATGCTGACAATGTGGATCTTTTTTAAAAACTTGGTAAAAGACTGGCACTGTTATCCTTGGTTATGTGGGGGGGCGGGGGTTGGTAGCCCCCCAAAAGACCTGAATTGAGTGCATTCGGGAAGGGGAGGGTGAACAATAGAGATTCAACCCGAATTCATCCTGGATTATTTCCATTGTGTAAATAAGCCCTGGGAAACAGGCATCGTCCCTCTCTGCCCCAGCAAAGAAGGACTGAGAGTACTTCCTTGCCAGGGAGAAGGTTCTCCTTCTGCATCCGGTTACCTTGGGAGCAGCAAGCAAACAGCCGGCAAAGCAGCAACCAAGCAACTGGCCAGCCTTGCTTTTGCTGTAAAGCTGATGGGGGTGAGAGGAAGGAGCAGGCCTGGGTAGCTGCTGCTGTATTCAGACAAGATAAGTTGAGGCAGAGGAGGAGGCAGAGGCAAGTTGGGTGCAAATGAGAGAGATGCTGCTGGCCAGCTGTCTTCTGCACAAACAGTAGGCCTAATCTCAACAAATAAGTGTTGGAGGATCCTAGGGTAAATGTGCTGGTAGCTCCAAAAGGTTTGAGGACCACTGCACTAAAGCAAGACCTCAATTCTTCTTTTTCTGCTTTATTCTCTTTTCCTGGCCTTGGAGGCCCACATGGCTCATGGGCAACAAGATTCCCACCCGGCTATAGTTCCTGAATGGTCCAACATGATTATTCTCTACCGCTTCAGCTCTGGTGTGGGAGAAGGTCAAAGGAGCAGAGCCGTCAATGCCCATGCTAGCTGTGGAGTGCTGTAGTCCAAAAAAGTAACTTTGCCAAGCTGTGGACACACAGGAAAATACAGCAACCCACTTCTCACCCTCCCAGTAGCTTCATGTTGCAAACAAAACCTAGTAACCTATCATACCAGTATTCTCAAAAGACATCAATGACTGAGGAGCCTCTGAGGAATTCCAGGGTTCCCTGGGCAGTGTTTGAAAGCCTCTGGGTTTTTTTTGTTGAAGTAGTCCTCAAATTTAGCATCCAGACTTTTTTGTGGGTTTTTCGGGCTGTGTGGCCATGTTCTAGAAGAGTTTCTTTCTGACGTTTCGCCAGCATCTGTGGCTGGCATCTTCAGAGAAGATCATTCTCAGAGGATTCATTCTCTGAAGATGCCAGCCACAGATGCTGGCAAAACATCAGAAAGAAACTCTTCTAGAACACGGCCACACAGCCCGAAAAACCCACAAACAACTGTAGTCCTCAAATTATTTTTGTAAAACCCCAGAAGCTCGTCTTGTGTCTTTGGACAAGTTCTGCCCTGCACACTGCAGCTCTGCTTCGGTCAACAAAAGACATCTAATTTCTCCACGCAGACACAAGTTGCATTCCTGAAGAGGGAAAATAATGAAGCCTCTGTCTTTCATTCACAGAGAGGCAGAAAACATATGAGCACTCAGCGAGGGGAAAAGGCTGCCATGTCCCCATTTAGCCCATGCATATTTTTTTTCTTGTGTCCATAGCTACAAACAGAACCCACTGGAAATATCCCCTTGTTTGCACAGTGCTATATTTAACAAGACCATACCAAGGAAAATATAAGTCACCGCATTTGAAGACTGAATTTTTCCTGTGGTCTGTAAGTGCGGCGTTGGTAGAACCCCAGCACATTTTGAAGTCCAATTACTGATCCTAACTGCTGTTCCTAACAGCCAAACTACCTGACCCCATGAACAAAGCTGTATTTGTCCCTGTAGCAGGGAAACAGACTTGAGTAATCTGAATGTACCATACAGTAACTGTATCCAATGGAGTCACAACAGATTATGACCACAACAGGTAGCCACACTGATTTTCTGAAATATAATACAGTTGGCCCTCTGCATCTACAGATTCTTTATCCACAGATTCAGGCATCCACTGCTTGAAAATATTCAAGGAAAGTATACATTCCAAATAGCGAGCCTTGATTTTGCCATTTATATAAGGGGCACCATTTTACTATGCCGTTGTATTTAACAGGACTTGAGCATCCATGAATTTTGGTATCCACAGGGATCATGGAACCAAACCCTAGCATATAACAAGGGCCCACGGCAATTCTCCAACAGATATTGAACTAGCTAAATTCACTATTAGCCTGTAAACAACAACAAGGATGCTACCTTTGGTGTAAAATTATTGCCCTCTACATATGTAAAATCCCGAGATACGCCGAAGTTGTTGAAGGGGAAAAAAGTGGCCCAACAATGACGTGAGTTCCCATAGTTTGGCACAGAGAAAAGGAATACTACCATGACTCCTGCATTTGTTTGCAGATGGAACTGGTTGCTTCATACACTGAATGCCAGAGACAGGGAGGTGTTTGTCGGGGAGGTACAGGAAAAGAACATACCATCAACCAGAAAATCCCCCAAAGAATCCATTTCTTTCTACTGGCAACTCTTCTGCCCCAAGATAGAGTGGAAGGGAGAAAAGGACATGCTTCCCCAAACAGACAATGAAATATCACTGACAACTAAACTGTGAAATGCAAAATTTCTAG